AATAATTGGTATAGGTTTCTAGCAAACGTTGGTCAATTTTTCCTGACATTTGTTCCAGATGTTGGGTTGTCAGCGTTGACCTAAATGATTGGTAAGAAATACCTTATCGCATGGGATTCCAACGTGTAGTCACTACGTTGGACAAATTTTGCTCTAAGATTAGGTAATGTCATTAGAATTTGTGTGAGTGCACAATATTTTGGGTTTGCCGACTGTTTCTACGCTCAATCGTTTCTTTACTGGTTGGTGCCTTGAGTCAAATCATGTTGTTGAAACTAAATCGGCTTTGACTGTAACCGTCCACGCGAATTTCTAGAGTGAGACTAATAGAAATTATTATCCTCGAAACAACTTCGGCCTATACACGCTGGCTTCTCTGATATCATGTTCCAGCAATAAAACTGATTGCTAGGTACGTGAAATAATGATTGCTTGAGCACACACTTGAAAATGAAGCACAGACGAACTTTGACATAGGCCTATTTAGCCAAGATGTGTGAACGTTTCATCTCTCAACAAAATGGGCGAAAATCATCATCAAATGGGCATTATTTATCAAAGAAGTTTGTAAATTACAAAAGATTTGTTGACATTACCAAATAAATTAGTAACAATGCGAGTGTTTTCAAAATAGTTGGCATTATTTCAATCAACAAGCAGCGCGTAGTTTTGCGTTTTCCCAGAAGATAGGAAAAAAGCACGTGTGTAATTGGACTCGGAGCGCGGCATGCGATGTGCACACGACGCCGCGCCGCCGCAGTCATACGTATTTTCACGCGCATGTACATTGTATACGTCGAGTCAACAGCGACTGGTGACAAGAGATGGAGTTGCTTGAAGATTTGGCAGAAGGGGGCAGTCCTATCCCTGATTATTCAAGCATACATGGTTTTCTGAGGAAGTGGGGAGTTGAGCAGCTGCTTGGGTTGTTTGAAGGTAAGCTGCAAGTTTTCAAATTAACACACAATGCGTGGGACACAACACACTAAACTTGAGTTTGAATGTGTCCCACTGAGAATGCTTGGGTCATGTATGTGTGGACTATATACGTGTACGTGTGCGTAGGCCTTCATGTGTGTACGTGTATATAAACCTTCCACGGCCACAGCTTTGGTCTCGAGTCAACTCAGTCCCCGTGAACGTGTTTTTATTTAGAAGATAAGCCATGGGAATAATCCAATTACCCCCATGCGAAAAAGTATGCCGGAAAGTAGGCCCCTAACAGTCATGACATAGGCATGGTTTACAGGGGACTAGCTGCTCACTCAAAGTTGTATATCGTGCGTAATTGGCTTCGCTTTTCCCATGATAGGCCAGTCTATGATTTGTTGATGGGAAGTTGACTTGGGACCAAGTTGACCTGGGACCGATTTGACCATGTTGATAGGGGAAGTTGCATTGGGACTGAAAAAAGCATGGGACCTACGTAATTTGGGTCCATGTGGACTGGGAACCAAGCTGGTTTGGGACCGAGTTGGCTGGGAATAAATGTAATAGAAGCAAGATACATGTACATCCTTCAAAAATTGTTCGAATTTGTTAGCCTGTAAATGGTTAAAAAATACCACTATTAAGATAGTGTTTATAAGCAAGATAGGCAAATTTGAGTGCTGGGATGGTTTAATTCCAAAAATTGGAAAGAAAAGGAGAATGAGTGGTATTGCCTTAGCCAGGTGCATTGCACTGCAAAACATATCATTTGAAAGTTTCAAGAGAAAAGATGTTTAATAATGGTGACCTGTATAATTTTGTTAAATCTTATACATAAGACATAATGAATGCCACCACTAGTGTAAGTATGTCTATTTTTTAACAAAATAAAAAAAGGTAAATTTACATCAATAAGAAACAGAAATGAACCTTGTAAAGGCTTATAGCAGTAGCATGTACATATTCATGTACATGTACCTGCATGCAATGTACGTCGTATATAGCCTTTGCCACAATTATTAATAAAGAAGTAAGCACAAAAACGAGGTGAATCCAAGTCTTTTATTTAACAAGATGTTCTTCATGGTCTTCAATTTTTCAGGGTTTTTGTTGGGGTTCTTTACAATCATCTTTTAGTGTTATCATGGACAGTTATCCACTACCTTTCAGTTGTTGGTATTTGTTTTATGCCCTTTAATTTCTGTTGAATTTTATTCCTTTGAATGCAGAACACAAAATTGATCTGGAAGTGCTACCCCTTTTGGATGAGCAGACAGTTACAGAACTAATTCCTCAGATAGGTGTTCGCATGAAGTTCCTTAATGGCTGGAGAAGAGAAGTAAGTTTGAACTGTTGACATATTGGCACAAAACCCTCTGCATCAGCCATGAACTACACATGCTTTAAGTGCTTAGCCATTGTTGATGGTGGAATCAAACATTTATTCAAGCACCTGAAATATGTGCATCATTTGTCATCATCATCCAAAGCCAAAATTGTATGCATTCAAGATGGATGTTCCGAGACATTTTCCTATATATCATCATACAAGAGACACCTACTTGCTAAGCACATTAAAACAAACTGCCCATGCACAAATTCTGAAAATTCAGCGAATCTTGCAACTTCAGCAAGTGAAACGGACAGTGATGAGTGCCAAGAAGACTGTCATTTTGAACCCATGGAAGATGATGAACCTCTTCTTGATATCACAGCACATATCGAAACATTCATTTTCAAAATGATGAGTGCTACAGTTCCATCATCATTTGTTCAGAATGTGGTTAGAGAGGTTGAAGAGTTGTTTCAAATTGTTACCAAGGCTTTGGAAAAGGCAGTAACAACCACAAAATTGAGATTGGTGAACAGCCCTGATGGAGCCTTAGATGACATGGAACAAATTGTAGAGACTCTGAGGAACTGTTTCAGACATTTGCAGACTCAACATCAGCGAATTGCAACTTTGAAAGAAAATTGTGACTTACTTAGTCCTGTGGAAAAAACTGTTGGCACATCATTCTCAACGAAGATAAACAAAAAAACTGGACATGTGATGCAAGTTCAAAAAAGAGACACCTATCAGTATATTCCCATTGAAGAGTCCCTGAAGAGATTTCTGGAGCAAGAAGGTATTATGCGTGCAATTATGGAAGAAGGAAAATCAGAGGATGTTGACATCTTAGAATCATATCGTGATGGTCTCCTGTTCCAGGAAAAAGACAATACAGACCCCAACTGTATTACTCTGCCTGTTATTCTCTACAATGACTCTTATGAAACAGCAAATCCCCTTGGATCTCGAAGAGGAGTCCATAAGCTAAGTGGCTTTTACAGTAATGTCCTTAGCCTTCCGTCGAAGGCTCAAGCATCACTTCACAATATTTTGCTGGTAGCTTGTGCGAAAACAACAGTTACTTCGAAGTACGGTATCGATGTGGTTCTTTCCCAAATTGTAAAAGATCTTAATTGCTTGCATAACCGTGCCATTGAGATTTCATGTGGATCATCATCTGTGAGAGTGAAACCACTTTTGTTTCAGGTTGTTGGTGACAATTTAGGGCTGCACGAGGTTCTTGGTTATGTTTGCAGCTTTTCAGCAAACTACCCTTGCCGCTTTTGCAAGGCATCCAAAGAAGTGATTGCTCGACAACAAGTGGAAGATGCCCACCTTCTCAGAAGTCAAGAGAATTATGAAGATGACGCTTCTAAAGAAGATCCCAGCGCTACTGGCATAAAGCGAGTTCCTGTCCTCAATGAACTCATTGGGTATCATGTCACGGAAAACTTAGCACCAGATGTAATGCACGACCTTTTGGAAGGTGTTTTTCCTCTTGAGATAAAGCTAACTGTAAAATCGTTGATATCACAAGGTTGCTTTACTCTAGATGAGTTGAATAACAGAATAAATTCTTTCAGTTATGGTTTTTGTGACAAGAAAAATAAGCCCAGTCCTATCAGTTTGTCAGCTTTGAGCAACCCAGGAGGACCAAGTGGCCAGAAAGCCTCCCAGATGGCATGCTTGGCTATGTATTTGCCACTTATCATTGGAGACAAAGTTCAAGAAAATGATGATGTATGGGAAGTGTACCTGCTATTACTAGATATTTATAAAATCGTCATGGCTAGAAGCATCTCAAGATCTGCCACATATTTCCTAAAACATTTGATACATGACCATCATGAATTGTTCAGACAAGTGCATCAGCGCAATCTTACTCCAAAGCAGCATTTTATGCTGCACTATCCAAGGGCAATCAGATACTTGGGGCCATTAGTTCAGTACTCAAGTATGCGTTTTGAAGCCAAGCACCGCCAGTTTAAGAAGTGGGCAAATGCATGTAACAACTTCAAAAACATCGCTAAGACCGTTGCAACCAAACACCAACAAGCTCAGAGTACTTGTGGAAGATTTCTTCCAAAGGAAGATCTTCAAAGCAGTGTTGAAATTCAGTACCAGATCCCTGTGCCAGTTTCATCTCTGGATGATGATGTGAGTTCTTCAATTTGTGCTTCCCTACATTGCTCAGAAGATTCTCTCATTGCAGTTGCAAGCAAGGCAGAGGTAGAGGGTTATCAAATGAAACCAAATAGCATGGTTGTGACAAACTGGACAGAAGAAGGACCCATGTTCAGTCAGATTCAACAAATCATCGTTTACAGGGAACATCTGTATCTTGTGTTAAAACCATGGAAGGTTACTGGTTTTAGCAGACATTACCATGCATACACTGTACAGGAGTTAAGCAACAACATATGTGTAAAACGACCAACAGAGTTGCTTGACTATCGTCCTCATCATATTACTCAGTGTCACAGTAAAGATGATTCTTCAATATATATTGCAGTGAGATTTAACTTAGTTTAAATCTCACATCATGATCATCACCATCATTGTCACAGTCATGAAGCAGTTTAGGTGAGACATCACTGTTATTGCTTTAAGCCCAACTATTCATGTTTGAATTTAGATTTCATCTGCATCTGTCTACATGTAGATAAAAAAAAATCACAGATATATGTGTACCTATATATGTGTGTGCTGCTCTATAAAATTAGCTGACAGTCACAGAAATTTAGATCCTCAAAACTCTAACTTGATTCCTGAAAGCATTTTCTTCTTTTCTTTAAATTGTGACAATTATCAAAAGTTCCTAGCTTTCAAGTGATAAAATTATTAGTATTTTTGTATTTGCACAGCTTGCAGATGCAATATGTATGCAAATAATTTGTGTATCTTCAGATCACACCCCACCATATAAAATTTAAGATAATTTGTTGACAGAAATATCCATGTTTTGTTGACATATACATTTATAATAATTTGTTTTTCTCCAAATTTTGATGTTTTCAGTTTCAGCAAGATAAGCAAGAACCAACGTTGCGGCATGCTGATTCATTCTCAACTTTAGACATAGATGAAGTTTGCAACACTTCTACATGTACATCGAGAAGCACAAGCATTGTTATGCCTTGCTCCAGGCCAGACACTGGCTCTGTGTCATCCATGTCTTCAGTTTGCACACCACAACCACCGAAAAAGAAATGTAGAGTACAGGCAATTGTAAGTGAGCTTACATGTGCATGTAGGTTAACTGATGAGCGTTGTTTTGAATGCGAGCTCTTTGTCGAAGGTTGACTTTTGTTCGCAAGATAAACTCGTCTTTTAGAATTCAACAAAATGCATTATGAGTTAAATTGTTTATAACATAATGTCACTCTCCTGATGGAATGTAAGTGCAGTTGTTAAAAGTTATTACTGATTTGCTCAACACAAGTTTACGTGTCACTCAATAAATTGCATCATTGCTAATGAATTCCCTCATCCATTTGTTTAATTTACTGAATATGATCACAGGGATCTGACTGCGTAATGATTAATACTTGACAAGATTTGTTGTCACCTAAGTTGAATGCTGCTTTAGATTACATGAAAATAACTTGTATATTATTAACTGCATGACCCTGCCCCACAGGATGCCAGAGCAATTCTGCAGACAACAGTTGCAGGTCGTGACATAATTACCCATCTTGAGAAAAACAAGTGTTTGACCAAGACATACAGGTGCAAAATGACTGCTCTACTTGTTGGGCATCTGATAGACAACTATGGTTTAAAGTAAGTACATGTAAACTAAACTGTACATGTAAAATAAACATGTTTCATGTGATTTCCAACTCAAGTTTTAGTTTATTTAAGCAGAAAATTGAGGATTGAAGGCAGTCCATATTGCCATCCTGACAAATTGAGTTAAAAAAAACTTGAAATAAAACATTACCTACTACAGTGTGTAACCTTTTTCCTCATAGACCATGTGCTTATGAGAAGCAGGCTTTGGCAGAGAGCATCATTCGTGACTTTCCCTTCTTAAAAGACCCAGAAGGCACCGGATATGTGAGTAAAATTATATACTCCAATTTTTGCCTGTCATTGTGAAATTGTTGCAAATGCAAAGTAAATTTGCCTTGTCTTTGAAAATATTTCCAGCATAAGTGCAGTGATTTCATGTTAGTCCAATTATATCTCTGGAAAGGATGCATGGTACACAAAAGGAGCAGCTAAGCGTCCAGCCACTGGATATCTGGAAGAGAGACTACGCTACGTTCGCAAGACTATGCTGAAAGTAGAGACCTCACCATCTGCTGAATCATTGTCTTCTGACAAAGGTGTGTTCTTTTAATCTGGAGCTTAGAAGAATTATACACAAAAGACTTTTTAACCAAAAGTAGATTCCTCAGTCTATGCAGGTAAGACTGAACTAAAACGTAGAGAAGGCCTGGATTCAATTCAGCTGGAGTACAGTCAAATTTGGCTGTTACGATTCCAAACCTTGTTCACATCATAATTCTATCTAATGTGCCAATTAGTAGAGGCAACGGACTGCTGTATTTGTGTTAAAAGCAAAAGATCATGTTGAAATTGATTTGTTATTTCTTTACCCTAACTTTCCAAAGATTCTCCGGAAAGGTCTCAAGATGAGGAAGAGGACATTGCAGGGATGACATCCTGGCTGCAAGAAAACAGTGAACCAGAACATAAAGTCAGGGACTACATGGCTAAAACCGCTGGTCATCGACAACAGCTAATCCATCAGAAGAAGGTACCTTTAGCCGAGATTCTTCAGCAGTACCCAAGGATTTTAGATGCAGCCATGGTAAGATTACTCTTCTAATAAAACATGGATTGTGGGAGAGTGGGTAAGAAAAAGTTGGTTGTCCCACTTGCATGCATTTTGCAAGGGGATAATTGTCTCTCATTGTTCCCTCTACACTTCCACTTTTACACGAGCCATGTGCGTTTGACATCATGCACATTATTCTGTTTGTAATGTGTCCTCAATATCTTGGCTACATGCTTAAAAGTGTTTTCAAAGAACCCAACTGAATTTGGACAGCACTTTGTATTGATATGTTCTCCTTTATTACCTTTGAGGACATTAAAAACACAAACAAGTTTTTGATTGATTAATGTAAGCATTGTTTGTACATTGTGTCAAGATTCTGCAGGATTTTGATCTGGGCTGTTATAGTGATGCTGCTGACAAGCTGTTGGAGAAATGGGGTCAACTGAGTGACCATATCATTCTATATGCATCTGTGATGAATTCAGCTTGGAAGGAGCTAATTGGTATGCCTCACCTTGACAGCAGCATACTCTCAGCTGGTGAGCTTCAATTTTGAACATGGCATGAAACTGATTGCTAATATGACCCTTGATCCTGAAAATGAAGTTTGATTGTGTAAACTGTGATTCATACCAGAATTTAACTTGCTTCAACCTTCATTCCTTCTGGTACACTCACACCCCCCCCCAGACAATTGCTTTTCCAGTCCTATTTTGGTTTTGTTCTTTCTCTTTCAGAGGAAAAGAGCCACTTAGCATTGTACCTGCTGGCATTTCTTCTTGGTGGAAGAGCAAGGGGTGGACGGAGGGGAGGACGCTTTGCCATAAACATGGAGTCTTTCATCGACTTACAACCGGTAAGAGTGCATTATTAGTCCATTACAACATTACAATATTAGTTGTTTAAAATTAACTCATTTGTTAAATGTTACATGTCAGTTACTAAGTGGCCAAAGGCTAAGGGGTATATGCAGCAGAGATACACATTTATCTTAAAGCAAGCTTGACATGCGTTTAAGCTTGAAGTTATTTTTTTAAAAAAAACAATACCTTAATGAAACCAGCATTATTAAGAAGTGTGACCTTGCAGTGGTCACTCTAGTGGAAATGAATTATCACATTTTGTTGTAGCATTCTGAGCTGGTCACAGATGCTTCTCTTAAAATTTACCCATGATACATAGTGCAATACATTTGGTGCTTTATCATTTATGTCATCAATGGCAGAGGAAAGTCCTCCCTTGACATGGAGCATCAAATATGCAAACACAGCTTTTGTAACTGAAATTTCAGAAGTCAGGAAATTTGGGCTGTCCTTGTGCTTATGCAGTAGACAACCACCTATCCCTGATAACCTTTTGGAGGCAGTGCTTTTAACATAATTTGAGCAGAGATTGCATAATTAAAACGACATTTGCCTTATTCGAGATTGTTTCCAGAACAAACAAATGTATTCATAGATTTTGAGAACCTGTTTGACCCAAAGTAGCCCATTTTGAGGCTCATCCCTGCATCAATAAACAATTAAGGCAATTATATTTTCTCATTCTTTTATACAATTGTTGCAGCTATACCAACTTGTTTGTGCGATAACTCAGATCTTTAGACTTGGTCTTAATTAATGTGTTTTCCCTTTTATCTTCTTCCACTACTGTTTGCTTTGGGGATGCTTTTCTTCTTTCATCTTTCTGGTCTCCTGCGCCTGCTTACTCCATTAGTGAGTTTTGAAATTATTTGTTTTTACAGGCAGTAACCAACGTGGCGGAATATTTAAATTCCATCAAATCATCTGAGAGACCACAGCCATACATCTTGGCACTGGTGACCACCAACCGACTACTTCCAACCCAGTCGTTCTTAATCATTGAACGTAAGGCCATCGAGATGCCATCACTCCTCAAGACAGTGGACCTGGCCTTCAAATCTCACTATGTCTTCAATGTTACCTATCAGCCACAGGTGCAAAATGTTTGGGATTTCCTGCAGTGTGTGGTCTATGAGTTGCCTGGTCTAGCTCGCCCCATTGTAAGAGACATGAGGGCATTTCTGAGGCGACAACTGTCAACACAGGCTTAAAAAGAGCTCTTCTCTGGGTTTCGCAAGTCCAGGGTTTTTTCAAAACTACAGTTTATGAAACGTCCTCCAGTGTTTTTGATACTGCATTACAGCTTTTATATCACTAGTTCAATGCCATTAGTTTCTTATTTACCTTTATTTTTGTGGTCATCAGTGGTTTTTCGTGCAGACACATAAAAGGACCACAAGCAACATTTTAATTTTTGGCAGTTTGTTATCTTGACAGCAAGTTATTCTCTTCTCTGCTTGGACGACAGAAGAAACCCTGTAGTAGTGATTTTGACAAATGTGTTTTTTCAAAAGAATATTGATCTGTTGTCGTAATTAAAATGATTTGTTGTTGATTTTATGAGCTACACATACCAAAATTGATACTTTTTCTCAATGATTACACTATATCCTCATTTCACAATTTGCCTGTACCAATATTTCCAATAGTAAAAAAATATGTAATTATGTTAAAGTTTATTGAGGGAACTGTGTGTTTAAGCTACAAATTTTCTGTATATTTTTGTTCTTTGAACAAAGACAACAAAAAAAGCCTTGTTTAGTCGTGATTTGAAAAACAAGTTTTATTGTTCAAAATTTACTAATCTCTTCTCATAATCACAGTAATTTAATTGTTTCTTCATTTATAGCATCAAACCTGTTTCACAATTTGTGTTATTATTCCTGACTGTCAAAACAATTATTAATGGGTCCTGCAGAGAAGCCAAGTGTTAAAGCCAGATACATAGCAGTAGTTTATAACCAAGTACATGTACATGTTTACATAAATGAATCTCATCTGATGTGTCTTCTGACACTTTTTGATTGGTTATTTCTTGCGTGCACAAAATATCAACGGACCATTTCTCAAGAAATAAGAGCAAATCAAATCAGCCGTAGCGGGAATTAAGCCCATGACCATTAACTTTGATATTTATATTGAAGACTTCATATTTCTTTCCACTAAGATGGGCAAAAACCAGGGCAACATCATTTTTGTGCCATGTAGTAAAGGACTTATATTGGGTTGTGATTTGCTAAAACTCAAGTTAAAGACGTTATGTAATGTTTTATTGTAAAAGTTCAAGTTAAGACCTTGTTTACAATAAATTGTTTTTTATTGTTTAACAATAAATGCTTGTTACAGTAATGTGTAAGATTTAGTCTCCATGCATTCTGTTTTTCTTTGTATCAGACAATTTGCCAGAAAATGGTGATGTGATGAAACAACCATGCATTGTTGGAAATTGAACAGCTTTTATGCAATCAATTGCAATTACAATGCTTCTACCAATAAGAAAGTAATTTTAAAGATTTCCCCTGCAGTTGGGCAAATACAATTGATCATTAATTGGGTACGTTCAATTTCAACAATAACAGAGCAAAACATTTTGACAACTAATTGGGTAAACGAAATTGACCAATTATTGGACAACGTGATAGCGACCAATAAATGGGAAGCAAAAATTTGACCAATATTTGGGTACATGAAATTTGACCAAATATTAGGTAAAACGGGTTTGACCAATTATTACATAAATAAATTTTACCAACAAAAACATAAATAAAATTAACCAATTTTAGGTAGAAAACAAATTACCAACCATTGGTAAAATTGTTTTCCTCATTTAATGTGTAATAACCATTACTCATCTTGGGTTGG